TTTAAATTATGCGTTCTAATATATATATATATATATATATATATATAATTTCTTTTTTCATAAAACATCTTATCAAAAACTATTTTGATATCAAATTTAAATTAATTTTTTTTCAAATTCACCCAAAATAAACACAACAATCTTATTCTCTTTCTATATAACAAGAAAAAAGCTTCGAATTGATATTTGATAAAAAGAACATGTGATGTCTATTTCTTTTTTCTTCTTCTCCATTTTTTTTTTAAAATGGTCATTTAAAAAAAATAATAAAGAAAAAAAAAGGACGAAATGTTGGGCTATCATATTCATTGTCAGGCCCAAAATCTAAAAAAATATACAATATAACAAAGCCCATTGAATATAATAGCATCCATTATACTCCTCTTTTTTCTTTTTCTTTTTTTTATTAGTCCTTTATTTAACTATTTATATTACGGTAAACTGTTTTTTTAGTACCGTAACTAAACCTCTTTATCATTTTAGTCCCGTAAGTGGAGCCTATCGCAAACTAGTCCCATAAATGAAAAATTTTCGTTGTTTTAGTCCTCCGGCGCCGGAGACGCCTGCGTGGCTCGCCGGAGGTGACGTGGCCGCCAGGTGTCCCGCCAGGTCAGCGACACCTGGCAGACATATGGATTTATTTATTTTTTTTATTTTTTAATTTTTTTTATTGGTCAAATAAAAAAAATACAAATAAAATTTAAAATAAATTAAAAATAAGTTTCAAAAAAAATTTAAAAAAATAAAAAACTCACGTGTCTGCCAGATCAGCGACACCTGGCGGACACGTCACCTCCGGCGAGTCACGCGAGCATCTCCGGCGCCGTAGGACTAAAACAACGAAAATTTTTCACTTATGGGACTAATTTGCAATAGGCTCCACTTACGAGACTAAAATGATAAGAATGTCCAGTTACGGAACTAAAAAAAACAGTTTACCCTTTATATTATAAATATCAATTATTTTTCTATCAACTTAAATGTTATTCATACTTATGCTTGTTCTAACTAAGAATATTTTTTTCCTATTATAATAAAATAATCACACATTAATATCAAGTACAAACATATCATTACGGATATATACACAAGGTACAAAGATAAAAATATTTAAATTATTTAACTATTTTTATTAAATAATACAATATTATTATTTTTTAATTTATTATACAACTCAAATACGAACTTCGAAACCAAAAGAGTATATGATTATACAAAATACAATATATATTTTAATAATACATGATATTTTTATAGCATTTTAGCATAATAAAAGCATGTCTCGACCGAGACAAAATAACACCACATCCTAACTACCGTCAATAATAATAATAATAATAATAATAATAATAATAATAATTGTTATAATAAATAAATTTTAAATGAATAATAATTATTAAATATTAATATTTTTGCCAAAATTTATAATTAATTAATTAAATCCAAATGAAAATTAAAAATAAATTTGTCACATAAATAAGAGAGGGGGTATTAAAAAAAGAAAACATATTGTTACTAAAATAGCATATTATTAATTTATCATATATTAAATATTACTTTTTTTTATATAAAATAATATTCATATGTTACTAATTATTACTCTCTTCGTATTAGGCACAAAGTTTTAGGTATTGTATAATTAGTGAGTAATTAAAAATTATATTAGTAAAAATAATTATAATTTAATAAAAATAATTTTAAATTGAGATTAAAATGACTAAATAGTTTAATTAAAATAAAAAAACTTATAAATTGTGAATTTTAAAATGTAATCAAAGTGTATAATTATATTTTTTTTAAAAAAATAAATTAAGTAAGACGGACAAAAATTATAAATAGTAGACAAATTAGGTGATGAAGTAATTTACAAAGAATTTCTAATATGCATTTGCAATTTATTTAAAATTAAATACTCCCTCCGTCCCAGATATCATGTTCATGTTACCGTTTCTGTCCGTCCCACATACCATGTCACTTTCCTTTTTTGGAAAATGATTACATATTTTAATCTCATTTTAAATTTTTTATTTTTTTTTTAAATTTTAATTAAATTAATTAATTATCTTAATCTTAATTTATAATTATTTTCACTGATATATTCTTAATTATCTATTAATTATATTCTTCCTAAAATATCGTGTTTACAATGTAGCAGACACAGTATCTGGGACGGAGGGAGTATATTATATCACATTTCAATAACATCATTTGAAATGCAAATATGCAATCATGCAAACCTTATCCATATAAATGAAATGTGTATATATATCTATATATTTTGATAAGATCCTTATCAGCGTTGATATATTATTACATTGGGCTGAGATGCTGTTGTTTTTATCTTAATATGATCTCAGCCATTAATTATAGGTTTGATTTGAAATAAAATTTTTATTTTGTTTGTATTTAAATAATATATAAATATTTCATTATTAATTTTTTATTAGAAAAAATGTGTACAATCAAATATATTGATTTTAATTTAAAATAAATAAATAAATATTTATTTAGGGTGTGTTTGTTTGGGGATTTGGAATTTGAGTTGGGATTTGAATAGTAAAAATTTTGAATTTAAATAATTGTATGATGTGATATAAATAGGTGTTGACGTGATATTTTAAATGTAAAATTGATTTTTAGTATAATATAAAAAATAAAAAATAGATATTTAATTTAATATTATTGTAGAAAAATTAGTATGAATAGTAGAAATTCATACAAATTCTTCAAACAAACACACCAATATAGTGTAGATTGAAAAGGGGGCAAAAATTTATAGCTTTGATTAGACAGAAGTTTTTAAATTTTGAAAAACAAAACAAAATATAAATAAATAAATAAATAAATATTTTATTTAATATTTTTTTCATCCCATTTAATTTCTCTCAGTAAATAATAAAAAAATATATTAGTAAAAATAATTATAATTCAATAAAAATAATTATAGATTAAAATTAAAATTAAAATGACTAAATAGTTTAATTAAAAATATATATATATAAATTATAAAATTTAAAATTTGATTAAAGTATATAATTATATTTTAAAAAATAAACAAATTATATGAGACGGACAAAAATAAAAAGAGTATTAAGTAGAACAAAAGAAGTATTTTATATAAAAAAATATATATATTTTAAAAAGTTATTACTATAAATATATAATGTCAAAACTTGTCAATATATTTAGAGCCTATGTTTTGGTACAAATTTACTTGATTTTCTTTTCATATTCCTTTCATCTGATTTTTTCGGACTTTTATTTTTATTTTCGTACAATTTATCTAATTTATCCTTTTTTTTAAGGAAATATTATTATATTATGATTATATTTGAAATTTCATTCTTTATAAGTTTTTAATATTACTCCATCTATAGAAAATATATCATTTTTCTTTTTGTCCATTTCATTTCAAAATAAAGATTGCATTTTTTAATTTAGTAATTGTATTATCTATCTAATACAATTAATATTATTACAAATTCTAATATATTATACAAATGTCATTACTTCTATATCACACAATTTAATAAAAAATAAAATAAAATTGTATTTTTTATTATAAATTAATATAATACTAATATTAAAAAAATTATATATATAAAAGATAATTATAATTTTATGAAATGTATTAGGGTGTGTTTGTTTGGGGGTTTGGATTTTGAGTTGGGATTTGAATAGTAAAAATTTTGAATTTGAATAGTTGTATGATGTGATATAAATAGGTGTTGATGTGATGTTTTGAATGTAAAATTGATTTTTAGTATAATATAAAAAATGAAAAATAGGTGTTTGATTTGATGTTTTTGGGGGAAAAAAATTGGATGAATAGTAGAAATCTTATTAAATCCTCCAAACAAACACACCCTAATTTCTTAATATTAAAATATGATTAAAAAAATTTACAAATCATGTGAGATTAAGAAAATAGAAATAGTAAAGACAAAAAAAATTAGACGAACATACTCTCTTTGTTTCAATACAATAATTTTGTTTATCACTTTTATTCGTTTCAAAATAATAGTCTTATTTTCATAAATAACTATATCACCATAAAACTAATACTTTTTCATTTTTATTATACAATTGTTACTACTTTTTACTATAATATATTTCATAAGGACAAAAAAATCGTTTATTCATATTTTTTTATCAACCGTAGATATAATATTGATATTTGTTAAATTTCGTGCCAAAATAAATTAAAACTATATTTATGGACGGAGGAATAATAACATTAAAATGACTCGTCAGTCGTTTGCGTCATTTTCATTGACTCCGTATAATAAATAGTACGTGTCCACTTAATTGATCACACTTTCAAGCATACATTAAAAAACCGGCAAGAAATATTAATCCACAAAGACACGTGGCTGCATATGATTGGCGGATGAGTAGTTATAAGCCATACCTGAACCGCCTTTTAGATCTTTCATAGACTTCCTCCCTCAGCCACGTTGACAAACAAACCCTGTTTTAAAAATTATATATTTTGTCCCACTTAATTCATCCAATTTTTTTTTTTTTTTCATTTTATATAATTTATTATTTTTCTTATTGAAATATAATTATATATTTTAATTATATTTTAAAATTTATAATTTTTAAAAAAAATTATTTATTTTAATTATTTTAATTTTAATTTATAATTATATTTATTCAATTATAATTATTTTTACTGATAGAATTTTTAATTATTTATAAATTACACGATAAAAAAACTATATATTTAACCTAAATTAAATAAATTAGTTAAAATGAAGAGAATAATACTCTATCCATCTAGATCATCGAAAATTTATCAGGAATATGATTATTAAATAATTAATAATATATTTAATAAATTAGTTATAAATTAAAATTATTTTAATTACAAATAAAATTTAAGATAAAATTAAAACTTATAATTTAAAAAAAAAAAAATAGCAAAATAAGTGGGACATGGAGGCTGAACTGATATCGTACATAGGACGGAAAGAGTAATAATTAAAATATAAGAACCCGTGTTTAGGGAGTTCAAAAATTTTGAAAATCCGAACCGTTCATTAAATGCAAATCTGGAACTTCTCTGAGGCATTCCGTCTTCAATCTCGATCCGTATTTTCTCCGTCAATCGAGCATGTCGGCCATCAGATTTGCTCCGGTGATTGCAGTTGCGTTGCTCGTTCTCCGATCGTACTCCACCGCCGCCGATTTCTCGCTTCCACCTCTCTTCGGTTAGTGTTTCGCCTTTAAATTCGCACACGCTTTGTGGTTCCTGGAGTGAAGCATATCGCGCTTTGGATCGTGCAGTGGATTTGGTTGATTTCGAAAGGTTTTTGTTGTTTGTGTGGATTCCTGTGGTGAAATATGTAACTATGTGGTGGAATTGATTGATTTCAAACTGTTTGCTGTGTGCTCTGGATCGTAGTGTGGTGGAATTGGTTGATTTCGAACTGTTTATTGTATGTGTGGATTCCTGCGGTGAAATATATGTTTGTGGATCGTAGTGTGGTGGATTTGATTGATTTAGAATTGTTTGTTGTTGTGTTTGGATACTGCGCAGGAGGAGAAGGTACGTGTTCAGATAGTGTTTGTGGAAAGGGAAAATGCGTGACGAAGAACAGTACCTTCGGATTCGAGTGCAAATGCGAGGCAGGGTGGCGACAAGCTCGTTCCGACGATGCCGATGGGTTTAAGTTCCTTCCGTGCGTGATTCCCAACTGTTAGTCTCTCTCCATCTCTTCTATTCTAATTCTGATCTTATCTGTTAATTTTTTTAGAATAAGGAAAGAAAATTGCAAGATTTAGTGCTTAATTATTTGACTCTAGAGAAAGAAAATATATATATATATTTTTTTTTTTTTCATAAAATATCATAATTATATATTATTTTAATAATAAATTTAAACTAAAATCTTTTTACTTATTAAAAGAAACAAGCCTATGAATCATTTTACTTGACATTAAAAATATTGATGTCTCCATCCCGGTCAAAATTATCCCCTTATTGTAGTGTAGAATTTATCCCCTTATTGTAGTGTAGAATAGTAAGTTATTGATAATAAGTTATGATATTATTTTATTATTTTTATATAAATAGTGTTGTTGGCATTTTAAATATTTTTAGCATTATATAGAAAATAAAATTTATTTATATTTTTAAAATATGTTTAAGATGAATAAATTTACTAAGATCATCTTTAATGGGATGGACAAAAAAGGGAAAATAAGTCATCTGTCGTCGCGGGAAGGAGGGAGTATTATATTTGAATAATTTACTATAAGATATTAATAAATATATTTTTATCTTTTTTTTACTTAAATTTTGATATAATAATTAATATTCAAATATCAAAATATAAAAATAAATAAATAAATAAATTGTAGCCTTGCAGCAGCAGCAGCAGAACAAAGAAGTATATAAAATAATTTCGAGTATATTTCGTTTAAGACATTAGAAAAATGTTTAGAAGAGAAGATGCTTAATTATATGATTATTTTTCAATTATATGATTATTTTGTTAATACATAAACTCAATAAAGACATGCACTTCTTATGTTACTTTTTCTGTCCAATAGAATTAGCATTAAAATTTAAAATAAATAAATAAATATTCTATTTAAAAAAAAAAGGTGAAAAAGTATTTAGGGATATTTGTGAAAATTTAATTAGAAATTAAAAAAAAAAAAAAAAAAAAAAAAAAGAGGAAATGTAATAACAAAATATTTCCGTTGATTTTGGCAAAATTTATAATTGGGTAAATTTTAAGGATGGATTAAAAAAAGTGAATAAATTTGATGGAAGAATATAATATTTTTTATTTTTGAAAACTTTTATACTATTTTTTTTATTTCTTATTCTAAATATAATTTATAAGAATATTATAAACAAAACAAAATAGAAAATTTTCAAAATGATATTCACTTAAAATTCATAGCTAAATTAAAACTAGTACATCTTAATAGAACGAAAGAAAAAGAGAAAATAAAATATTTCTAGAGAGTGGAAAGAGAGAATATTAAACAGCAAAAATACAAAAGAGACAAATGAGTAAGAGAACTTGATTATATATATCTTTGAAAGTACCTTAAATATGATATGATCTTATAATAGTTAAAATTTAAATATAAAGGCTGCAGTTGCATTACTTCATAAACGTGTTAGGTGTGGTTGTTTGTCGATTGGATTTTGAGTTGAGATTAGAATAGTAAAAATTTTGAATTTGAATGATTGTATCATGTGATATAAATAGGTGATGTGATGTTTTGAATATAAAATTAATTTTTAGTATAATATAAAAAATAAAAAATAGGTATTTGATTTGATGTTTTAAAGGAGAAAAAAATGGAATGAATAGTGGAAATCCTTACAAATCCTTCAAACAAACACACCCTAGTCTTAATTGAGTTGGGCACGGGATTTAAGAAATATTGATATTATATTAGCAGTCGTTAAAAAATATAGATAAAAGACTATTTTGAGTGTATTAGTAGTGTTAATTGTGTAATAAAATTGAAAAGTAAGGATAGTTTTACGGTGATGTGATATTTATAGAAACAAAACTATTATTTTGGGACGAACAAAAATAATAAAAAGACTATTGTATTGAGACATAGATTAATATTTATATTAATACAACAAATATAATACTCCATATAAACTAATGGAGTATTATATTATATGACATGACAAACATATAAAACATATTATATTCGTTCGGCTCTAAGGTCTCATTTATTTTTTACATGTTAATCTTTTCGTAAGAAAAAATTACAAAAATACTTCAATACACAAAATGTGATCTTTAGAGGCAGACAAATGGAATATTAAATATAGACACAGTTCTAATTAATAAAAAATACTACTTTTGTGCTCATTTATTTTTTGCGTGTCAATTTTTTCAATATTAATTATCATATGAAAACGTAAATATATAAAGATATTTTTAATATTAAGTTGATTTTATAACGGCGAGAATTAAGTTCAAATTTTCTTGTACAAAATACAAGAATAACATCGAATTCTCATAAAAACTTTTCTCGTTTTCGAAAACAGGTACGATGAACCACTCCTGCGACAACACTTCCGATCCTTCGCGTCGCGATCAAGACAGAAACGGCTCATCCATTTTCGATCGTAAGTACAACACTACATTCGTTTCCAGATTTCTTCCCATGGATTTTCACCGATTATATCAAATTTATGTTCGATTCCATGTTCTGCGTCGTAGCCTGCTTCTGGGCAGACTGTGGAGGAGGTTCGTGCAACAAAACCTCCCCGTTTACGCGCACCTGCATATGCGAACAGGGGTACTACAATTTGTTCAACTCGACATCTTTCCCGTGCTACAAACAATGTAAGAACATATACATATAGAGATCAGTCGAATGTTAGAAAAACAATAACTTTTCAACAAATGATACTATAGGTGCAATTGGACTCGACTGTGCGAAACTCGGAATCAACATCATGAACTCATCGAACCCGAGCTCCAACATGAATGACAACAGTGAAAATCACGGTGAAAAGAATCGACTAGAATAAATTTTTACTGACCTTGGTATAGTCGTCTTCTGAACTTTATGCTTTTTTACCAGGAACAAGCTTGATTCCAAGAATCGAATTCAGTTGGTCGATTGCCTTGGCAACGGGTTCGGCTCTGGTTTGGCTGATGTATAGTTAATCAGACACAGGTAACCGCATCGAATGTTACATATAAAGCTGGCGTTTTTACTTCGGTCACAGCTGTGGTGATTTTACGATAGACTTATAGGATAAATAAATTTCACCACACGTTCACAGAGTTTTGTATCTACACTCTAGTTTTGTTCGAATTTCTCTGGTGTGTATATGTAATTATACTCTTAATTATTGCATGATTTATAGTTTCGACAGTGAATTTTAACTTTACTAAGCAGACGGCATCACACGTAATGTCAGATAACATAATTATGTTTATATAAATACAAGGGCATGGGTCAGCAGCTGATATAGTTATGTCAAGGTAGTGCTGATTTGACCAGATTAATACTCATTCGTTCCAAAACAAAATCATTTTAGTTTGTTTCAAAATAATAGGCTCATTTCCAATTTTAGTAACCAATTCTCCATCTTTTTACAAAATTATTCACGCTTTTTTACAATAATTACATAAAGTAAAGTTCTCCATCTTTTTACAAAATTATTCACGCTTTTTTACAATAATTACGTAAAGTAAAGGTATTATGGTTTTTTAAAATCACTTCTACACCTACTATTAGTATAATACTATTATTCCTTAATTCCCTATAGAGGTGATTACATATCTCTATTTATAATAGAATATATATTGCTAACTCTGGCTCCAAGGGTTCTATTTTTTGGCACGATGATATTTGAATATTAATTATTATATTAAAACGTATTAAAAATTATACAAACATAAAGATATTTTTAATATTAAAATACAATGGCCCAAAAAGTAAATTGAGACTTTACAGCCGGAAGAAGGGAGTATACTAGAACTCGGCATATGCTATCTTATAACATAGCATATGTTGAGATATGTATAAACATATATTGGTTATCCGATCAAATCAGCTGACGTGGTCGGATGAGCACACAATCTCCCGCCATAATACAAATATAGCACAATAATTAATAATACTTGACAATTCAAGCATGAATCGACAATATATGTTCTTAGCATTGTCCACACGACACATGCTAATATTGATTTGAACACACTTACAAGAATGAACTGATATAAGTAGAAGTATATGTTGTCCATCTATCTTATATGTGCCGACCGGAACAAATGAGCATAGCAATCAAGATTAAATCGGTTATTTCAAGTATACCACAAAAATAAGGCCGCAATGAATATTTATTCATCGATATGTAGTAGCATAACTCAAGAAAATAAATTAATCTTTTGCGCAACTCAACCATAACGGAGAGTTACCTTATTCTCGATGCTCTATCCATAGAATGCTAAGTTACCAATGCTCGAAAACAATCTAAACCAATTCAATTCTCATCCTCCGTCCCAAAAAGCTTCATCCTCGACAATGGTGTCATTAAAGAACCCTCGACTTCGAATTTCTTCGGCGAAAGCTCCCGAAACTTGGCGAACATGGCCCTCGCCTCCTGGTTCTTATCCATCAAGCTATAGATCATTCCTTTGCAGAAATATGGCCGGAAATCCGACGGATCTTCCTCAATTAACTTCTCATAGCTACTCAGAGCTTCGTCTATCTGCTTATGGAGGAACAGCATTTGTGCCATTATCAGTTTCACATCTCTTGCCTCCTTCGATTTACCCTCACTCTCTGCGGCTCTCAGCGCCGCCTCCAACCGGCTGATCACCGCCGCGCTCTCGCCGGAGCGATCCATCAGAAGTGCAGTTTCGAACAGAGCATCGAAGGAGAATGGATGCTTTGATAGTATTTCTTCGAATTCATTTCGCGCCTCCTCCAATTTCCCCAATTCGTTCAAAACCCTAGCGGTTAGGAATTTCCATTCCGTGCAGTCCGGCTCGGCGGCGGACAGTTTCCTTAGGATTGATAAGCTCTCCTCGTCCTCGCCGGCGTCGAGTTTCTCCTGGAGGAGATTCTTCAGCGCTTCGACGGCGGAGGGATTGGATTCCAGCAACTGCGTTAGAGGTGAAACTTGCGGAGCTGTTTCTTCTGATTTTTGAACCTCCTCGCTAAATGAACCTTCGGTTAGGGTTTCGGTAGGCGTCGCGACCTCCCCTCTGGCAGGAAAGGTCTGGAACCTTCCGAATGCGGCGGCGGCGAATATGACGGCACAGGCGGCGGATTTTAGAGGAGAAACCGTCTCCTTCGGAGAATTGTACGGGTTTGGAGTGCTGGAACTCTCGGCTTTAATGGCGAAGATTCTCCTGGAGGTTCCGCGGGAAGACATTAGTTGCGGCAGCCATTGTACTCGCTCCGCGGAGGAGCTCCGGAGCGAGGCCGCCGGCGCCGCCGGCGGAGTGCTAATTGTAAGAGCCGAGTTCATTTTCGTATTATGAATCAGATTTGTTAGTTACAATTAGGGTTTTGAAGAAATATAATTTGGACCCGGCCCGAATACTTGAATCCTATTCGACTGGCCCACCCAATCTTGAATGACCCATTTAGATTTATAATGAAAAAATCTGGCCCATTAATCAGAATTACCAAATATATATATAGTTTATTCTTATTAGAAATTGTGAGTTTGTTTTAAATTGTTTTGACTTTTTACTATTTAGACTCACTTTATACAAATTTTTTGAAATTTTTTAAATATTTAGATTTTTTTTTTCACATATATTTTTTTTTAAAAACTAATATATTAAAGTATCTATTATTTTTTTTTATTATATACACTATTTTACATAAAATATATATATATTTATTCAAACTATTTTACAAAACAAAACACGTCATATAATAAAAATACAAAACTCCAAATCCAAACAAACTACTTTAAACAAACACATTGAGAATATTTCATTCCTTGTTTGCTCCTAAGTTTTAATTCCCAATGTTTTAGATGAAATTCATTCCAAATTTTTTATATCTTCTAAATGAATAAATTTTTTTATGTACACTATACATGTATATATATATTACTTTATGTTAATCATATTATATTTTATAATATTATAAATCAAATATAAATAAATTAAATTTGATTCAACCACAATTTCAACCAATGATCAAACAAACCTTAAATTTGAATTTTGTATTTTAATTTATTTTTTAATCAAAATTTATACTCATTCTTTTCCACTTAATTTGTCTCATCTTTTTATTTTTGTCCGTCTCATTTTTTAAAATATAATTATACATTTTAATCACATTTTAAAATTCATATTTTATATTTTTTTTAAATTTTAATTAAACTACTTAGTTATCTAATTTTAATCTATAATTATTTTTATTAAATTATAATTATTTTCACTAATACATTTATTAATTACTTATTTATTACAGATTAAGCTAAATGATACAATTTACCCGGGACGAAAAATACAATGTATTTTGTCATTTATATATAGTAACAAAATATTCATTTTCTTTTTTAATAAATGTAATTTTATTATCTAATCCAAATATCCTCATTATATATATATATATATATATATTTACCGTTATGCTATGAATCTTTATATTATTCTAAATTAATTACTACAATTAAAATAGTACTTCTTCCGTTCTATGTCTATATATCAATTTATATTTTACACGGAATTTTAAAAATATTAATATTATATTGAGATAAAATATAAATAAAGATAAAAAGACTAAATTAACTCTATTAGTATTGTATGATACAAAGATAATGATATTTATGTAATATATTGTAAATTAGAAGGGTATTTGTAATGTTAGTTAGATAGTACAATTACTAAAAAAAAAATAAAATAGACATATTGTTATGAGATGAACCAAAATAAAAAATAATATATTATTATGAGAGGGATGGAGTATTATTCTTTAAACTTTGTATATGTATATGTTTTCCCGGATGAAAGGAGTATTATTGTTTAGCTAAATTTTATTACTGTATTTTCATTTCACTACCATCAGATTTTATGCATTTTTCTAAAAAAAAATAATTACACACCTTGATATTTTAATTTTAATTTTAATTTATATTTTTTTTTATTAATATACTTTTAATTATTTATTAATTATATTTTTTCTAAAATTTTATACATACCGTAATTGGAACACGATAGCTCAGACCAAAAAAATTATACATATAAATTTTAGGCTAAATTGCACGAAATCTACCCGTAATTTTATGAAATTGCGTCAAATCCCCTATATTTTTAAAATTGTGTCAAATTTCCTCGTGGTTTCATAAACTCTGCTTCTAATCCCATCGGCGGTCCTTATTTAACGATATTTGACCTAAATGCGCCTAAATTGCAAATAAATTTTCAATTTTTAAACTCCTAAATTTATAAATATATTTATTTTTCTTATATTTAGTCTAAAAAAATAATAAATATACTAAAAAATTGTTATTTTTATCGGATTTTAAGAATTTATTTTTACTATTTTTTGAGGCTAAATATAAAAAATATATATATATTTGTAATTTTAGATGTTTATAAATTAAGATTCTAAAATTTATTTACAGTTTGGGCGCATTTAAGTCAAATATTGTTAAATAAGGACCGCCAAAGGGTTAAAACCATAAGGGAGTTTGACGCAATTTTAAAAGTACGAGGGATTTGGCGCAATTTTGTGAAACCACAAGTGAATTTTATGCAATTTAGCCTAAATTTTATTTAAAAAATGAAATACAAACACAAATTATAAAGAAAATATAAAATTTTAATCATATCAAATGTTGAAAATGAAATATGCTCCGTCTGTCAAATTTATTTTTATTTTTTTTTAGTTAATTCACTAAAATTATATCGTTACTAATTTTAGCAAAGTCATTAAATTAATATTTAATAATGACACTAATTTTATTATATTCTCTCTTCTTTTACTTTATATTTTAATTAAATTTTAAAAAATACTATAATTATCTATCATTTGTTCAATAAAATTCTCATTTTTCTTAATTATTGTGGTACTAATTTTAATGGGCTGAAGGTTTACTTAGGGTGTGTTTCTTTAGGCCGTTTTGGAGAAATTTGAATTTGAGTTTGATTTTTATTTGAATTTTAAGATATGTTTGAATTTATTTGTTTCTTTTGTGTTTGAGTTTGGTTTGAGTTTTGATATATATTGATTTGATAGATAATAATATAATAATATAAATATATATTAAATTTAATTGATAAATTAATAATACTCCATCCGTCTCATTGGAAGAGTGACATTTGTTTTTTGCAAATAGATTTTTGAATGTTAGTATTATATTGAATTATAGTAAAAAAGACAAAAATACCCCTATTAGTATGGTGTAATATAAAAGTAATGACATTTGTGTAATATATTGTAAGTTGAAAAAGTATTTATTATGTTAGGTAGGTAATATAATTACTAAATTAGGGAATGGTAACCTTGTTTTGAATAGGACGAAAATAAAAAATGGTAACATTTCAATGGAACAGAGAGAATAGTATGTTTTGATTATAAATTTATATTATATATAACATATATATTGTATATATTTTTTTTAACCTATAATTATTATAAATATTAAATAAATTATTATTTATATATTTTAAATTTAAAAAAATATATATATAAAATTAAAAAGCAAAAAAACAGACATAAAGTTGCTGCAGTCTAAAATGTTTTGTCTGCACAGTAAATATCTTCAAATTGAAGCTGCCTCTAAATAGAATTTGCACAGTAAGGGTGTGTTTGTTTGAAGGATTTTGGAGGATTTCCACTATTCATCCAATTTTTTCCCCCAAAAAATATCAAATCAAACACCTATTTTTTATTTTTTATATTATACTAAAAATCAATTTTACATTCAAAACATCACATCAAACCCTATTTATATCACATCATACAACTATTCAAATTCAAAATTTTTACTATTCAAATCCCAATCCAAAATCCAAACCCCCAAACAAACACACCCTAAATATCTCGAAACCTGGACGATGAAACACGCCCTTAAATTCGAAACTTACAGGGAATCACAAGTAAAAGGCATGAAGGGACAGGGTAATCGACGGCAGTTCGTACTGCGGCGGCGGCAGCGCCATTTGCGGCGGCGGAAGTACCGACACGATACAGGAAAGACAGCTTAGGGTCGTAGCCTCAGAGGCAAATAGGCACTCAGAGTCTCAGACTTATTATTTGAAAATATATAACTCTTATTTGTCCATTAATAATTTATTTATTTATTTTAACTTTTTACATTCAAATTTAAGTATATTAATATTTTATATAAATATAATACAAACGATATATATATGAAAAGATAATTTTACTTATATTTTTTAATATAAAAAATAATAATATAATAATAAAATAAAATATTTTTGTATTTATATGTAATATAATTTTACTAAAGAAAAAAAAAAGTAACGAAAATATTTTAAATGAAAAAAATATATGTTATCTTTGTCACCGTTAATAAACCAATTTATTTTTTACTTAAATATTAATTAATATATTAAAATATAGTAAAAAAAATAGCAAAAGTATTTTTATTAATATTTTTAATATAAGTACAAAAAATTATAAAAAAAAAAAAAAAAAAAGTACTCTATTAATCTCAGTCTGTTACACTGTAGATACTGTATTTTAGGATTAGTAGATCATTAAAAATATATCAGTGAAAATAATTATTCTATAATATAAATAATTATAAATTAAGTTTAAAATAACTAATTAATTTAATTAAAATTAAAAAAAATAATTAAAAAATTTAAAATGAGAATAAAGTGTGTAATCATTTTAAAAAAAAGAAAAGTGACATGGAACGTGGGACGGACAGAAACGACAACGTATGGACATGATATGCGGGACGGAGAGAGTAATATTTATTATAATAAAAAAATAAATAAATTAGCTATATAGATAGTATTTTCTTCATTCCACTAAATTTGTTCATTATTTTATTTTCGTTCATACCACATCATTTATTATTTTTTAAAAAAAATATAATTATACATTTTAATTATAGTTTAAAATTCATAATTTATAATTTTTTTAATTAAACTATTTAGTTGTCTTGATTTTAATTTATAGTTATTTCTTTTAAATCATAATTATTTTTATTAAATCATAATTAATTTTTATTAATATATTTGTAATCACTTACTCCATCCGTCTCATAACAAAGTATTCATTTTTCCATTTTAGTCTATCCTATAACAAAGTATTCATCTTTTTTTAGTAACTGTATTATCTACCTACCATAATAAATATCCTTACAACTTACAATATATTATACAAATGCTATTACCTTAATATCACACAATACTAATAAGGTTATTTTAGTCATTTCTATTTTATTTCTACTATATCCCAATATAATACTAATATTTCTAAAATTTTATGTAAAAAGCAAACGGATACATAGTTATAGGACGGAAGGAGTACTAATTAAACACTACTTAAAATATCGTGTA